ATCTTGGAAACCAAGTCCAGTGTATATTTTTTTGAATTTTGACCTGGATGACTGAGAACCTTCATCAGCAACTCACCTGAGTACACTCACATTTCCTCTGTAATAAAGTGTTGACTAACCTACTAAGAAGGAAAAACAGAGATTTACTAATTGTAAATGGATTCAATATCTCTGCAGAACCTGACCTTATGCTAAAGACACAGCCCTGCTAGACCTTTAAAATAAGAAAGCAGGTCTTCTACAAAATAAAAGCCTAAATAATATACTCAGCAATATATTGCATTATAGGGATCTTGATCAATACCCTGTCTGGTGACGCCTTTCACCAGTAGGTGTGGCGATGCCAGGCACCACTAGCTGTTGTGACATCAGTCGGCACTCTGTGTGGCGACACTATCAGGCACCAGGTGTTGTGACACCAGTCCCCAGTAGGTAAGGCAACACAAGTCGCCGCTATGTATGGTGATGCCAGTCGCCTTTAAGCCAGAACAAGAAAGTTACCACCTGGTATGGTCACATATGGCACCACAAGGTTTCACACTCTTACCCGATTAAAGGTGAACCCAACTATTCCCATTAAGCCTTTGGTGCCAGTACAAAAATTACTCACACACAAATACACACCATGTTGCAGGCACCACCAAAATTTCCATGGGGATTTTTCTAGTTTTGTCCATTTTCTTGCACAATGCAATGCATGCATGCATACCTGTTTTGTGGAAGAAGCGGTAGTAATTCCAAAGATTAGCATGATGATCATTCCAATTGCCATGAAACCTGCAAACTAAACCAAAAAAAAACAATGATCAATTTTAATCTGTTTTATTTGGAATGGGTTGTTCTTTTTCGTTGTGTCCAAAATGTGACTTCCTGTACATACAACTTTTAGGCAGGCTTTTTTCTCAGTATGTGCAGCAATGCTGCCCAGCAACGAGATCCCCAGCATGGCAATGGCAAACACCCAAACCAAGAGTGTCCCCGGTGTTTCCATTGCTCTCATCTGGTCAGAGAGCAAAAACACAGGTTTTACTACAGAAGTAAAACTGATTATAACATAATATAACCCTCTTTTTAATCTTCTCTTTTTTAACCTCTCTCAGTGTCTCTATCCATTTATCCATGGAATTTAATATTCTTGTAACACAGTCATACATCACATAAATAAGAAGTTAGTTTCCTACATACTACAACATTTAACCACATGAAAAAAAACTATTCAAGTGTTATATTTAATTAAAGGACATTTTTTTAAATATCAGGAAGTCTAAATAGATATATTTTAAGATTTTCCAGCTGCTTTTTAAGAACAGCTTAGGTTTTTTGAAGTCTTCAAGCACCACTAACATACATCTTCCACAGTGTTTCACAGAATTTCCCAGTAATCACATGTATAATCACTTAATAACCACTTTGCTCTTCCAAACTCTCCCAGATTAACTGACTGACTTAAACAGGGCAGTCTACACCACTTTTGGTCTTATTCTCCATTTTACACAAAATTATTGTAGATCAAACACACTTTTTCTTTGCTAAGGACTTTGCTGCTGCTTATTATTTTTTTAGTAGATAAGGCCTGAAGTGAGTTGACCACTCAAGACTATCCCACTGGATAAAAAAGTTAGCTGTCTGAACACTTCCTATAGGTTTAAATATTATTTTCACATAGTGGGTTGTAAATTATTAGAACATGTAAAATATAAAGTAATTTAAACGGTATACATTACCTCAACATCCATATTAGTTGCTACTAAACCGTAGATCAGTAAAGCTCCACACAACTAAATCGAGAAAAATCAGTTAGTTTCATAAAAATGACTTAAAAAAAGCACAAAAAGAATTTGAGATTTGCAAAGAAAATGATATTGAGTTAATAAGAATATGTCACTCAGTAATCATAATTCATTGTAGTCTTTTAAGAGTGTGCAGTAGTTTTGGATTCATGTAGGATTCATTCTTCCTTAGCCTCTTACACCCTAAGGGGGTATAAATAAAT